ATTTAAACATTATAAAATTACCCTCAATGTATCAAAATGACTTACTTTTTTACTGTAGTAATCTAGGGAACAGGCTGGATCAAGGCATTTTGTCTTCTAGACTTTTGCAAATTTTAGGAAGAAGCAATGTGAATACCAGGGAGCTGAGAACAGGCTGCGGTAGACAATAATGATGACAGATACCTAATTCAAAAGTGAGTCTGAACTCTAAAAACCAATATTGCAAACCTATCTTCTCTCCTGTTGAGATAAACATGGCTATTCAACATCATTTACCTTTTTTTTTGTGCTTTTAGGGACTGAACCTATGGCTTGCAGTTGCTAAGGAAGCTCTACCACTGAGCTACCTCTCCAGCTATAAGCAATCATTTGCATTTTCTTTTTACAGCACTTACTACCATACTCCCATGACAGGAGTGATAAGGAAAAACATCTTAGAAGCAATTATTAAATATAGGGTCCTTTACCTGATGTTTATGAAGGTAAAAGATAAAAGAGTAGTCGAACCTTAATGATCAGGCAAGTAACAGCAAATATGGGAGAGAAACAAAATGCAATACAGTATATCTGATATAAGGGAGAAAGATGTCCAGTGCTACAGAGAGATGCTAACAAAATGACACAAGACTTCAAACCAGAGAGACATCAGAGACCCAAGGGGATGACTCTCCTGAAACAATATTTCCTTTTCTACTGACACATTCCAGCCAGTTGGCCTCATGTGCACTTTTTCTGGCCCAAATCTTTCATTTTGAGAGTCTGGCTTCCCAGTCCTTACAGATCTCCTTACAGTTCACACCTCAGTACCTTGTCGCTGGGGGAAGATAGGTTATTCCCAGCCTTGAGTTTGGTGCTGACTCTGGAAGGCAATTCGCACAGAGGTGACACCTGTGAGGTGTCTGGACGCATGATGGATAAGGTAGGCGGGAGATCCTCCACTGTATAGCTAAGAAATGTGCCAGGTACATAATTTAAAGACAATAGATATGCAAACCATTGTTGTGTTCAAACTAGGAACCTTCTGGAGCCAAATAATTTAGTTTTATAGAATTGTCTTCACAATCAAAAACTTTTTATAATGGATAATGTTATATGTCTCTAGGAGAAGGTCTAAAGAAATTTGTCCGCATGGCTCATTTAATTGACCAAACAAGTATACTTGAAGAATAAGTGCTTTCATTGCTTTGTATATAAAATCTATACAACTTAGGAAATTGATGTAAACCACAAGGCAAAGGGGGTGTCTCTATGACCTGTAAAGTATGAGCTGGTAAAAGATGAGAAAAATACTTCAAGTTTCCCTCTTGGGCCCGTTATAAATTCACTCTTTTGCAATTATGTTGCCATGGTAACGAGTGGCTATGGAGTTATGAGACCAATGAAGACATTGTAATTTTGGGACCATTAAATTCATTACTGATGCTGTTTTCTCTCAGCCAGAACTGTAGAGGGGTTTATTTGATTCTCAAGAGAAATTCATAATATCATAAAGTCAATAAATTCTGTGAATACTGTCCTTTATTATCATGGAGCTTGAGGACACAGAATTACTGTGGGAAATCACAGAGAATGAAATAGATCTTAGGTGAGTGATGGCACTGTGTTGTGAAACTGTAGATTAAAGTGAGGGTGGGAATTAAGACACAATGAGGGGAAATATGACATCACAGTGTTTTGAGCAGGAGATGAGTTGAATGAAACTGAAGCAAACATTGGAAAAACATAATCAGGTGTGCTGCACAGTACACGGCAAACGAAAAGAGAAGGAAGACAACTCTCTCAGAGGCCACTGTAGCAGCTCACGCTGAGGAAATACAACATGTATTACTGTGACTCCCTTAGTCTAAAGCAGAGCTTTGATCTCAAAGAACATCCCATGTATTAAATCAAGAAGCCAACAGGAGACAATTCCAAATCACCACTGAGTTATTTGAACTTTCAATGAGAAAATCATGTAATTCCATTACCCAGGTTACACTGAGATTTAAAATGAAGACCAAAGTATTTCCAGCTTCCCACAATCAATTACAATTTTCCAAAGCTTTGAGGAGATGAGAATTCGATGAGGGATGCTAATCCTGGAAACAATCTACAGAATTTAAGGCTGATTGATGAATGTTTGTAGTCTGAGAGTATGTGCCTAGCCAGGTGCACAGAAAATCCGTGGAAGTCTGAAAGGAAAAGAAATAAATAAGGCTTTGAAAAGTGGGATAGTATCCTTGGAGCACCTACTAAGGATAAACACAGATCTTCAGCTCTATGTGGCACAGACATCCTTCCCTTCTCACCTGTACACCTGTGTGCAGCAGGCCTCTGATCTGGAGACTCTTGTTCCTGTCATTTTCTGTGAGCTGGCGAGACCAGTAGATATGGGTAGGTCACCAAGACCTGTGTTTGCATCGCCATTATTACCCATTTTCTTCTGTGATTGCTTAGCTTTTCTTACTAGATAAAATGATTAGGCAATGGTAAGTCTGACCTTGGTCAGCCAAGCCTAAAACACAATCTGTTGCACTGTGCCATCTTCACTGAAATCATTTCAGAACTCTCAGATCACAAGGGTAGGCACCTGTGCATCTTTGGGTTTTAAGAAGACTTTGAATCATGAGCTATTTTTGGTACTTGTTTACATCTTTCTGGCTTCAGCTTACTTTTCTTATTCTTTTCATTTTTTCCATGATTTTTCTTACTTCTGTTTTCTTGATTCAAGTTTTTGAAATAAACTGCAGATACACTATAATGACAACTGGAAAAGCTAGCCTCTGTACTTACTGAGCTATCTATCTTTTTATTTTGATGGGAACCAAAATCTCTTGTGCTTTAAGTAAATAAATGTGAGCCTTTCTAGCCTATTTATTTATTTATTTATTTATTATTTTTTATTTTTTAATTTTTTTTGGTACCAGGGATTGAACTCGGGCCCTTGCACTTGCAAGGCAGGCCACCGAACCGCTGAGCTAAATCCCCGGCCCTTCTAGCCTATTTATTTTCTAATTTGGGAAATCACTTTTACATATAATCATCATTTGCAAGTTAAGCAGCCTATATTTCTTTGTTAGCTTTAAGAAATGACCTCAATATGATAGTATTTTTGTGATGAAATGTACATTTTTCATAAATGCGCTGTGGCCTGCTGCTCAAAAGTGCCAATTTCCAACTGTCCTGCACCATTCCAGCCAATCTGCACCAGCCACTCCTCTTTCCATCTGTTGTCCAAGTGAATGCACCCCAAGAGTCCAGTTTGTACGTGGCACTTCCTCCCCAAGTCTCCTGCTGTCCAGGCACTTTTGTCTAGTGATTTCTAACGCCAAGATAACTACAGAACTATGCTCTAATTGCAGCCCCCAAATGACCTAGGAGACAGTGATTTCGTCTATAATGTCTCACTTTCAAAACTGAGGAAAGCCCCATTTGCCATACTGGGACTTAGTATTTGTGGACAATGTAGTATGGAAATTAAGCCTTTTGTGAATAGAAAAACAAACTGTAGGGACTAGAGGAAGAATCCACCTTCATTTTAAGGAGAAACAGACCCTTCGCCAATGTCCAGGTCACTTCCAGACTCAGATATTTCTCTTTCTTTTTAACATACATTTCAGTTGTACATATTAATGAGATTTAGTATGCTATTTCCATACATGCGTAGAGCATGCAACAGTCACATCCAACTACCTACCCTTCGTACACCCTCATGTCCCCCACCTCGGTACCCTTCCCAGTTTCAAATAGTAACTGTCTTACTTTTGGGTCAACCTTTTAAAATTTTAGTGTCCACATACGAGAAGTTCCATTGTGTATATATACACCATGTTTTAGTCATCTGTGCATCTGTTGATGGGCCCATAGGCTGATTTCAGATCTTAGCTGTTGTGTATACAGCCACTGTCAAAATGAGCGTGTGGATATCTTTTCTGTATGCTGACTTCTTTTTCTTTGGGTAGACAGCCAGGACTGGGGTGGTTGGATCGGATTATGTCTCGATCGTTTGTTGTTTGTGGTGCGCAACACCCAAAACCCACAACTCTTGAAAGAGAAGAGGTTTATTTTGACTCACATTATCAGTCCAGAGTCCACTGGCTCCAAAACAGGAAGTACATGGTGGAAGGGTCTGGCAGAGCAAAGCTGCTCACATCACTGCAACCAGGAAGCAGAGAGAGAAGGAGAAGCTGGAGAGGGAGAGATGTGCTCTGGGTCACACCCCCATATCTCACATTTTCCAACCTGGCCAGGCCCAGCAGCACATTCAACTCTGAATTCCTAGTTAACCCACTGATAAGTACAGCTCCCCAAGATCCGAACATCTTCCTACAGTCCCACCTCCAATCACTTGAGGCGTCGGGGTACAGTCTAGAGCCAAACCACGCCAGATTAAAGGACAGTCCTTTATATGGATCTTTGGCAAAAGACATTTCAGGATCATTTTTTCTTCTGATATGTATGAAACTAACTTCAAAAGAACCACAACTACTTACTTTTAATGTAGTTAAGTAGAAGCCACATCCAAAGGAGAGAATATGACATGATAAAAACCATAGATTTGAATGTGGGTGAATTTTGTCTTCTTCCCCCCTTGCAGCAGAGTCAGAGCTGGAGGTCTTACTTTCCCCTTATAAAAACTATGGCCAATGAGATATTTATACAACTGCCTCAAAATTAAAGAACACAATGTACGTAAAAAGGATCATAAAATATTTGGCTTCAAATTTTATGATTCCTATGTCCATACTTGTCAATCCAAACAAGGAGTGCAAGAAAAAAATTTTTGGTTTCCACCAAAATAAGGATAATTTAGCTCAGCAAGTTGAGATCTTACTTTTATCTGCAAACATAATATTGTGCTGAAGTCTGGAGAGGTATTTCTAACCTGATTTGGCCAAATGTGCTTCTATAAGATAAGAAAATAAGAAACTATCTTATCTATGAAGGAGTTTAAATCCAATCAATAATTGGTGCCCACAAAAAACACAGTAGCAGATGTAATTGTGATTATAAAAAAAGTGAACATGAGCTTTAATGTTGAACATAAATGCAAGCAAGGTTATCAGGATCTCAACATTTATTACCTATACTGATCATTTTTCTACGGTTAATTTTATGTCAAATTGGCTAGGCCACTACTGTGATCTTAATCCTGAATAACTCCGGAGTCCATGTGTTAAAGACTTGCTTCCCACATTTGTGCTATTGGGAGGAGGCGTGAGATAGTGGAATGTGTTACCGAAGTTGACTGTGAGACTCTGGCCTCTTTTTTTCCCTTTGTTTTCTGGATATGATGTGAGTGCTTTTTTCTGCCTCATGCTTCTGTTGCGATGTGCTGCCTCCCCTCAGGACGGAAACAACACAGCCAGATGACCCTGGACTGGAAGCTCCCAAACTGTAAGCCAAAATAAAAGTTTTCTCTTTATAAGATGAGTACTGGCTGAGTGTGGTGTAACCCACCACTCAGGAGGCTAAGGTTGAAGGATCACTGCGAGTCTGTGGCTATCCTGGGCTGCATAGTGAGTTCAGGGTCAGCCTGAACTACAAAGAGAAATCCTGCCTCAAAACAACACCACCACCCAGATATTTGGTTAAACATCATCTGGATGTTGGTAGAGTTATTTTTAATAGATGAGATTAAATTTTAAGACCTTAGACCTCAAGTGAAGCAGATTCCCTTCTCATAGTGTGGATTAGTCATGTCCAATTAATGAAAGACTGAGTTCAAATCCTCAGTACTGAATACAGGAAAAAAAATTAAAAGATAACAAAGTTAGCAAAGTTTTAAGGAAAAGTGAGCCATTATATATTGTCAATGTGAATGCAAGTTGGTAAAGTCATTGTGAAAAGTAGTATGGAAGTTCTTCAAAAAGCTAAAATAGAACTACCATATGACCCAGAAATTTTCTTTTTGGTATGTATTAAAAGGAAATAAAGTCATGTAAATATTGTCTTTAATCCTATGTGCACTGCAGTGCTATTCCGAATAGCCAAGATTTGCAAATAACTTGTGTCCATCCCCTCATAAATGATGTTATGTTTTAGATCTAAAAAGTCTCCCCAAACCATGTGTTTAGACATAGGAATTTTAGAAGATGACTAGATCATGAGAGCTCTAATTTAGTCAGAGGATGAAGTTGATGGCATTATTGGGAGATAATGGAAACTTTGGTGTTTAGGTTTTGTTGAAGGTTGTGGGCGTAACCTGCTTGTGTCTTGTGTCCCTCTCTGTTTCCTAGAATCCATGAGCTGAGTATCTGTGCTATACCATATCCTTCCACCATGATGTTCTGCCTTACCTTAGGCCCACAGCAATGAAGTCAGCCAACCATTTACTGAAACCTCCAAAACTGTGAGCCTAAATAAATCTTTGTTCCTTTAAGTTGTTCATGTCAGGGACTTTATTACTTATATTTTAATATATAGTAATGAAATATTTTTAGAAACAAATATATATTGTGTGTCAATGCATTTATGTAAATTTACATACATAGGATATTTTAACTTTGTGATATAATGAGATTTTTCTGTGATACGCTGCACTATTCTATTTTACTGTTAATGTGCTTAAGAATTTAATTTAAACAAGATGAAGTAATTTAAAAGATATATAGAATTCCATGTGGACAAAATTGGCTACCAAACTTCTCAGAAATAAAGTGACATTTTTATGTTTATTGATGAATTCCTGATATGTGTTCCAGTCTAGGAGGAGTGAATGTTTTAGATAAACATTATTTATACTTTCTATTTCAAGAAAGGTTACATTGCTGCTTGATGTCATAACCACTAATTTAAATATTTATTTTGCTTGTTTATCATTTCTGATTCTCCTTATTTTCTGGGCACAGATTTCCATAATCATAGCCTAAAGTGCTGATATGACTTCTCATTGTAGGCTGAGGCAAAACAGTAAATGCACTATCCCTCATGGTTATTCAACCACAGCTGACAATGCCTTTCTCCAAGAATGATGGTTTATCCCAGAAGAGATATATCCCACTTGTCTTTATGTTTCCCATCTGCAATAACTAGGATTCAAAATAGCAGATGGCAATACTTTATAAGAGTGGTATATGACAAAGACCTTGCTCCTCAGAAATTTCATTTCAGCACAATCATATTTCTTTTAATAGCAGCCAAAGCAAAGCCAGAGTGAATGGCTCCCACTAAGAGGTAGCTGTGGAATAAGATAAGAAACTTAAAGTTTAAAAACATTTTTTTCTCTCATTTAACTGGAAATAACTAGATAACATCTATTAAGGGGTACACTGTGGGTAAAGCCATAGAATTGTAAGAAATGTGGACACAGAGACAGGAAAAGAATGACATTCCCAAGTGACCAGTACTCCTACAAAGTCTATCCTGCGCGTAACATCATGAGATTACCTGTGGCAGCGACACTGAATTCATCTCAAGGATCTAGAAAGGGGGAACTGAGGAGGCCGTAGGGCTTCAAGGAGCAAAGTAGACGTGGAGGAGAAGGCCATTCCAAGAATATAAAAGCCGGAGGTCCTGGTACAACTTCATGAAAATAGAAATCATGAGAAGTCAGAGCTGGCAGGAGCTATTAGGCATCCGTGGAAAGTATCAAGATGAGAAATGATGTCCACCTGAACCAGCGAGTGTTAGTGGGTCCTACTTGTCTGCCAAGCGGGAGCAGTGATATTTCATGTGTACTTCTTAAAATGATACTAAGATAACTGCCCCAAAGCTAGGCAGTTTCATCCATAAAGATCTCATCATCTATTCAGGCTGGCATAGTAGGAGCCACCCGTGAACACAGGAAGTCGTTGCTGAAGAGTAGATACTAGCTGGGGGTGGTGAGAGGGCCAGGTTTTATCAGTATGTATCAACTTAAGCTTCAAAGCACTTTTGGGGTGGGCATGGTACTGATGGCAGCAGAATTGGGGGAACTCTAATTTCACCATACCCCATCACTCCCCAAGGTCATTGCAAAGGTGAGGTTGTTAGTGACACTTTCTCTGATCTTGGCTCCCTGGCATTACAGAACAAGAAGTGTGTGGGGACAGACTGTGTGTGTGTGTGTGTGTGTGTGTGTGTGTGTGTGTGTGTTGTCTGAATCTAGAGAAAACTATAACCCTAAAAAACCATAACTTTGAGTGCCCATAACCATGGTAACTGCCTTGTCACTAAGGAAGACTGGAAAATGGGAATCATCTCAGGAACTCAGCCTACTCTCTGAAGCCAGAAATCAGGAAGTACATCAAGATCCTGGTCTCCATACAAACTCCAACAGTTGCAGAACCTATTGTAGAAAACAGGACACTTAGCCATCCCTGGTACTAAAAAAAGAAAAAGAAAGAAAGAAAAAAGAACTGGACACCTGGCCACAGTGACAAGGTTTGTCAGCTGTTCCTTCTACAGAAATAATACCTCACTCTAAGTATACCAGGATTCTCAAACTTATCTTTCTTTGGTCAGGGATATTAAGCAGGAAGAAAATCTTTTCCAGTATAAATTAATTTTATTGTTAAAAGGAGTAGGCCTTTTCTATACCCATTCCCCAGGCTAGGGAACAAAGGCTTTCTTTATAGGGTCAAGTCAGGACAGAGGTGAGGTAAAAAGGCATAAATCCTCACCCTTATAAAAATCTAGTTGATTTCTAGGAGCTCTGTGATGTGAGGAGCCAAAGGTTAGTGTTTATAGATTGAAACTCTCATTGAAAAGGAAGACTCACATTGAGTTACTATGGTGAAATGGCTGTTTCATGGCAGAATAAGACACATAGAGTGTGGGAGAAGTTCACGCCTGGCTGGGCCAGGTGTGCCATACTCCTGTCTCCTGAGCTAACTCAGAGACCTTGCTAAGGCTGGGCTAATTTGCCTAAGTGCCTAGATGCTGGGTCCAACAGGCTAAACCTCCACCCCTAGTCCATGACTCCTTCACCTCTCCCAAGAAAAATCACTCCGCCATGTCTGGCCAATAAGATATCGCCAAACGTTAAATGCTCCTCCCATGTTCCGCCTCCATGGTTCCCTATATAAGCTTATGCATTTCCTGAAAAAAGCGAAAGTGTTCTAGAAACCTCCCTGGAGTCTTCGTGGTGATTCCGTGCCTTGCCCTACCAGTCCGGGTTCCTGAACCTTGTTCTGAGAGCAGGCTTGCAGAGGAGAACAACAATAGAGATTCTGTCTCTCTTACTTAGAAGTTGAGATTGGCCTGGAACGTGTATGTATTTATTTAGCAAATATTTATTAAATGTGCTCTGCAAACCAGGCACTGTTCCAACTGCTATAGCAAATAATCCTACGTATAGTGAATAATGAATACATGTAGTGAATAATACATGAAGTGCATGACAGAGGTGAATAAAACAAAGTTTCTTTTCTTGTGAAGTTTCCATGCTGCATAATGAAAGATGTTGAAAGAACATTTGGGAGGCATTTCCAAGGGTCCATGTGAAAAACGACAATAATTTGAATGAAGTGCGTAGGAAAAGAAATAGTCTTTTGAAAAGATACTCTTTAGAAAGCATGGCTAGAATATTTCTGTAGATTGTAGTTTAGAAGGTCAAGAGTGGGAAGGAGAATTTGCCCCTGCATGTGAGATGATAGGAGACATAAAGAGAAAAATGGGAAAGAGTAATATCCCGACAACAGCAAAGTTCTGTTGCTGTTGTGGTACCTGGCACCATTCACACACATATATATAAATTGAATTTTGGGAAACTTTAACGGTGCTGCCAACTTTGGAAAAAGTCATCCCAATTTACTGTGTTGACTTGGCATTGTACAGAAATGGACAGCCATATTGGTCTAGAAATGTTAATTTATTTATATTTTCCCC